CAATAATGAGCTTCGATAACATTTTGGACGATAAGATGAAGTAGATGTTGGGATCTTTAGTTCGATAACAACATTCTTTAGTGAAAAGATACACGATAACAGTTATAAAAAACGGTAAGAGTCAAATAAAAAAGATAGGATCAATAAAGTGGATACTAAATTGGATACGATCTAAGTTAAAAGTATGAGCTGGTTTTTTAGTGAAAAGTTATAGAGTTTGATTTCTAAAAGTAAAGTTGTTGGTTTTTAAAAGGTTGATTCTCCTCTTTTTGGATGAATGGAATCCTTGTTTATATATTTGAGTGAGTCATTTGTTCTGAGCTAGACTGTCAGGGTTTTCCTGGATGCTGTCATCAGGGTTCTCATCTGGTACGCTGAAACCAGTAACAGATACTCCCTGTGTTAGATCACTAACACTCCTTGGAAATAGGGTCTTGGATCCTTTGAGCTTGGTTGCCATTGACTAGTGGATACTTTTACACCGGATCTGCTGTTCTGACATTGGGAGTATTGTAGAATACTCCTCATGACTGACACTCTTATACTAATAGGTCTGAGCAGAATATCTGCAACCTTGGTACAGTCAAACCCGCGCTAATGCATAAATTGGGGAGTTGATTTTTGCTATGCATTATCGCGGGTTATGCAAATAGGCATAAACCCCCATAATGCATATTTGTATGCATTTAGGCCTAGATGCATTGAAATATGTGTTATGACTGATTTTTGTTGAGATTGTATAAGTTTATGCAATAGTATGTTTGTATTTTGCGCAGGTACAAGGACAAGATATTTTTTTGACACAGAAAAAAACACCACTAGGGGTCGGTTTGACCCCATAGAGGGCTCATTGCTGCCTGATGTTGCCAAAATCTTACTTGCAAAGGATTCAATCAGAGTTCAATGGAAAAAAACACATCCTGGGGCGCTTTGTAGGCATGCACTATGACTTTGGGGACTTGAAAAGAAGTATGCATTATGGTTTTTGACATAATTATGCAATTAATGACAAAATTGGCCCGCACCAGCTGGGTGGAAACCCAAACTTATGCATTTTGGCTGGTTATGCATGTGTGCAGGTATGCATGTGCGCGGGTTTGACTGTATATGAACTCACTACATGCAGCTACCAATGTGATGTAATGGGTGCTCAGGTGTGCTTTTATTGATTACCTTGAGGAGCCTTGTGAACAAATCATGGTAACACTTGGAGTTTTGGATCCTTCATCAAAATCATATCATCTGATATAAGAGCAATAGGAGGAACAAGGAAATACAAGCTGTGTGTGATCAAGAGCGCAAGCCTCCCCTTTTGGATATATGATATGATACATATATCTGCAACAGGCTTCAATGTCACAAAAAGATCCATTACCACAGAAATTCCACAGAACCCTAAAATCATACCAAGCCTCCCCAGTGCTTCTTGACTGGCAGAAAGATGTTAAGCACAGGCTGACATGTGATAATGTGTGGTTTAGGAATGTGCTTATGTAGCCTAACCATCATGGCAATGGGGTAATTTTTGAGCAGGTGAATTACTGTAACATTTTACAGCTGTTGCAAGAAAGATTGACCACTTTCTAAGGGTACTCATAGTAATGTATGTAGCACTACATACTTTTTGCTATATACTTTTTTTGGTGGGGAAGACAAGGCCAAAAGTATATATTTTTCTTTTTCCCTGCCAAAAAAAAGTATGTAGCGCTACATACTGACTTTGAGTACCCTTTCTTTGGAGGAAGTTGTCTCCAGAGTGTGTAAAGTCAGAGAAACAACTTGATTGATTACAGGTGTTTTTTGTCTGTATTCTTTCAATTAGCAGAGAGACAAAACCAAGTGAGGGTCAGGTTGTGGACGCGCCAACACACATCTTGTTGTACTTTTTTGTGCCTAGGTGCCACTTGAAGCGGTGGGTACTTTTTTTTGCTCAGAGCTGAAATGCTGCTTTTTAATCAAAGTTTATTCTACATTTGTATTGCTGGAGCTATCTATAGTGCTTATTGCTGAACATAAGGAAAAGTAGAATGGGCTTGTGTCCCAAAGATTGGAATTTGAAAAGCAAGAAAAAACTATCAATTGTTCCAAAAAGTTATGGACACAGAGTCCTCAATCTCACAATTCCAAAACTACTTTTGTAATCCGAAAAAGGGGAGTTTTGGCAGAGGGGATAGCTTTTGGATATGTGATCTGATTTGCTTTTTTTGGGGGGTAAGCACTATACCACAGCAATGTTGCATTTAAAGGTGAGATAGATTAAAAATAGTTGTCATCATATTACTACTACTATTGTTGTGACAACTCCAATTGTGAAGAGTGCGCTTCTGTTAGGCGTACTCTTCACTCAGAAAGTGATAAGGTAAGTAAAGTGTGGTCTTCACGTGGTACACCCAAGTGAAGACTACAGCTAGTTGACCTCTAAGAAGAGGATTTGAGGAAGAGAGAAAGGGATTAAGGGTGGTGAAGAGCTAGTACGCTCTAACCTGGTGAGACTGCGAGGGGCAGGCTTTACATTTTGGTGAACCAAAGATCCTGAAGGCTACTTTAGACTCCGTATAAGGCAGGAAGCTTTGCTGCTTTACGGTTTATGTCTAGAGTATATGATGGCCCAAGGCTCGTAGAAATCACTACCAGGGCGCTCAGCAATAGAACCCGTGATGCACAAGTTTGGTCTTCAGACTACACAACTAATCACATACTCGAGGATCCTCTCTATAGGATTTCAAGTATAATGTGATTCTGGTGTTGTGATGTGTTCAAAGATGGGGGATGAATCAAGGGAAGAAGGGGGGTTTATATATTCACGGGTCAAGCATCAACTTGTGGTTGGTGTGTGATTCTTGTCTCACTTGTGGTTGGCGCTTGGGTTAGGTTTGTTACATATTTAATACATTATGTACATGTGTTTATGTGGCTCTTGACACTGAGCCATGAGATGTACTTATGGATTTATACAATAATATAATATTACATGTGTTACTGTTAGCCCATGGTCGTGTAATCAGGGCTCAGGGCTGACACCAATATTGGTGATTGGACATAAAACTCCTGATATTTGGGGTGTTTGTCAAAAATGCACGCCAATCCCAATTTTATTGTTTTTTTGAGGCATAGGTGCACCCCTAACCTGAAGGGAGAGACAAAATCCAGGTTTTGCACGCCAACCAGATTTTCAAAAAAACGATCTTTGTTGAAACGGACGTGATCAATCATAGAACTGCAAAGAAGGTTGGAGGCAAAAGATCTTTTGAGCCACGTTTGACTCACATACACATTTTGCAGCAAAAAATAAATGAAATAAGATAAAAATACAATTTGAAATTTACCATGAGGTGCTTTAGACCCCCACCTTCAAAACCTCTTGAGAAGAATTTGAAGAGGGCAAAAGATGGGGAAGACTTTGTTCTATAATTACGGGATACAAAGTAGAATCCGGGCATGTGCCCGGCTTGGTGCCCAGATTTTTTTTGGCAGTAAATTTGAATTCTGGGCCCGAAATTTTGCCCAGAAAATCAAAATGGACGGCACTATTTGGCGACCGGTTTTTTTGACCCGACACCCGGAGGACAGATAATTGGTTATGTGTCACCCTATTCATGGTTTTTGGTGCCTGCTTACAATTCAGCGCCCGGTAGGTAGCTTGTTTGTTTACTCTACCCATCTTCCCCAAACAAACAAAACTCTCAATCTATGTACCTCACTTGTCACTACTCGACTATGAGAACAGAAACACTAGACCTGGGACCATTTCATTCAACAAACAAAACCAAACAAGCAATACAAGTTAAGATCATTCCATTCAAGACAAACAAGTGTGTGTAAGATACGACGAGAGACAGAGAGAGACAACACAACGAATTGTCAAAAGCATAGGAAGAGCAGTTCAACAGTGTTTCAAAACTATGTTTAACCTTGCAAAGAAAAAAGAAAAACACCTTGAACGATGAATAAAAATAATTATTGGACAACCACCTCACACTCACCGATCCACCTACCTAATTGATGTTGATACTGTTCAATCCAAACAGGTATGGTGGTGGAATGAAGCATGGCGCAGTCAAATCACAAATGAGGCAAAGGTTAGATTAGGAGGATGGGATGAGAGGATGGAGGGTAGGTACGCCCAGTTTTGGTTGAGCCCGCTAATTGGAGAATACTGCCCTGTTTGGTTGTAGAGGGCAGTTGATTTTGGTTTGAGGGCGGTAGACATTTATTTGGCGCCCGGTTGCTGGGGCTGCGGCCAAATTTAGGTGTGCACGGGTCCGGGTATGCGCGGGAGATCCGCAGGTTATGTACCGGAAATTGCGGGCTTTGGGTATTTTCAAACCGGTCGCCAAATAGTGCCATCCAATCAAAATTTACTGCCAAAATTATTCCGGGCGCGTGCCCGGGTTCTACTTTGTATCCCACAAATCTCTCCTGATGAAATTGAGGGTTTTGTTGTGCAAGATGGTGTAATTGTGAATTCGAGATAGCCTCTGCCCAACCAAGATCTAATCAGGCTGAAAAGTGTCAATAAGCCGTAAGTCCCTCCTCCGCAGGCTCCAGAGGACACCTGCAATTGCATGAGGGACTTAGTTAAGTTAGATTCTTGGCTGATCATTGGCAAAAAAAGGGAAAAGGCTATTGGGCTATTTTGTGCCTTTGTCTCAAAGGCATTTGAACTCATATTTAGGACGTTTTCAGGAATTCAAGCAGGCTTTTTAGTTCACAATCCTGTCCAACAACCATGATTCCTTGCTTTATTTCAATTGCTCGGAATGTCAAATTTGAACTACTCTAATGGGATCGGTAAATTGAGCCTGCAGGTAATTCTTATGGGTCTTTTGGTAACAAAACTTTTGTCATTGTAATCTTGTTGCAAAAAGATGAAGGAATGTCGAGAATGCCAAGCGACTCGAGCGCCGGAAGTCATACAATGGGAAGTTCCGCATGCTGTGATCACAGACTCGCCCTAAAAGGTTTGCGGAAGGCACCACGGAGACGGGGCACTCGCTTGCGAAAAGTGTCATCACGTTTACAGCCAATACAAGAAGGAACCTTCTTAAGCTTAGCTTCTTTTCAAGATGTTCTGCTGGAGGATTTGCCCTAAGATCTCGCGAGCATCAAGGATCGAGAAATTTATACATAGAGACCAGATTGACTTGTCGATTACCTACCAGGCGTAGTAGGTATGATAGCCACACTCAAATCGATTGGTTTACATGATATGTCGGTGAGATAATCAGCCGACTTTATGATCCCTCCTCTGCAGACTTTTCTGGCACCGAAGGAGCAAGGCAGTCTTCCTGATAGGACCTGATCTTCAGATCCGAAAAATCGGTTTGAGCACCTGGAACCAAACCATAGGGGGATGCAATATCGAAACCCCTGTTGACAAGACTCAGATATACTTAGCATACAGTGAAAGTAAACGATATGAGACAAATTAGGAGTCTAACCCAGCATTCCTCAGTCGCCGAATAGCCGGTTTTTCTATGCCTGATTTGAAAAAAGCCTTATCGGAGGATTCAAAAATCATGGCCATATTATGATCGTTGATCTTCTTCAACTCGGTGGGGTCGGAGGCAAAATGATAAGACAAGTAGCTAAAGAGGTGAATAATTGATCAGTTAACAATTCACATCATTGATGTCACCCCACACATAAGTGAGTTTACCAATGAAGCAGGACACTGCTTCGATCAGTAGCTCTTGATCAAAAGTGCGTACCGAGTCAACCACGGCTTCTGTTCATCTTCCCCCTCTGCGATTAAATCAGTACCACCGGTGGACTGAGAAATTGGAGCTTGAAGAGAGTTTGATGCGGTGGATGGGGCAAATGTCTGATATAATGCCAGTCCGATGATCGAAGCACCACTCCAAATGAAAAGGGAATTACCAAACCCTGAAGTAAGTTCAACGAAGGGAGCAAAGATGCATGTGATTCAGTATTTTTGATGTTTTTGGAACGGAATGTCTAACGGAAATTCTAAATTCAGGAAAGGTAACATGTGGTTTGATTTCCAATTGGGAAGACGTACCTTCGGGCCGCTCTAGATGACTCTCATCTGTTTCGGCGCTAGAATGTAAGCTGCTGGAAGCATACCGACGGTTTTGAGGACAATTTAAGGCTCGATGTCGAAGTAAAAGCTTCTTTGATGGTGTTGATAAGTTGACGGAGCGCAGCATTTGAAGTGATGAGTTGCGAAACAGCTTGATGGATCTTGTCTATGAAGATGAAGGTATGAAGTATCCGAGACTGACCGAGAGGTAAGTTCGATCGAACTTGAAGACCAGAGGAAAATTACATATCTAGGAACATGTAAGCTCGGGGCAACACACTAGGGCTATGATCCGAGTGCCATTTCGAGCCGGACCGAGTCACGACAGGGCTCGCTGACCGCGTGACGTTTCTCGGGCCGGTCCGGGGTGAACCCAAACAGTCTCAAAACAATCTTTAGCCTGAGAGTGCTTTGGGCTGGCCCGATAGCCCGAGGCTAACAAAAGGATTGGATTACATAATTTGTACATATAATGCCTGCTCAGCACTGTGGATCCCAATATGATCATTAGCACAAAGTTGTGATACACATTCAAATAAAAGGAAAATTGAACTATCTCTCAATCAAAAGACAACAAATTCCTTTGCTCTAACTAGATGGCCGCTCCTTCAAGGTAGACTAGTTTCTTTCATCTTAACTTGTTTAGTCAGTGTTTCATACAATAAAGCCATTATTATGCACTTGAAAAAAATGTTTAGCAGAGCTTGGAAAAGTGAGTGCAGCCACTATCTTTCAACTCTGCAGGAACCAGTCCACTCATCTCCCATCTATTCAGAAGAAACTTATCACCTTCTCCTCTATGTAAACTGTGGACTAACTGAAAACCCTAAACATTTGTTGTTGTACTGTAAATGGTAGACGGTACCCAAAGGCACGACGGTACCGTCTGTTTCCACGATGAGTGGCGGGGTCGGCCTATGGGAAGTGGGAGAAAACAGCCTTCTACCAAGGGTAGGTTTTCTCCCGGCGCGAGCTCAAGAATTCAGAGTAAAGGAAAATCCCTTCACTCCATCTTTCTCCCCCACGCGTCAACTTCCCCATAGTCGACTATCCCACACTCAGATCCGGGGAATTTCACTCTCTCATCTCCTACTTGAAGCCATCTGGCTTAAAGCTCTCTTTTCAAAATCCTTCATAGTTTCTTTATTGAACTCAACATGTCGACAGATAACATCAACAACCCTGTAATAACAGACGCCTCCACAGGAAATACGTCTAACACGGAAAGGTTCACTCAGATGTTGAGAAGGTCAAGTGCGAGATTAAGAGCGACATCCGTCCCAGCATTAGATTATGAACAGACGGTGAATCCCCCATTGGAACCCAAACAGCCGCCTGCCGATGAGGGGGCTCCGCCTACTGCGACGAGCAGTCAACGAGGTGGGAACCGAGGAAGAGGTCGTCGAGCTGCTAGAGGATCGACTAGACCTACTGCCGAGAACAGGAGCCAAGGGGGTGGAACCCCGTCGGTAACACTCACGGTGCCGGGCGCCAACACGAACGGAAATGCGACTTCTGGAGCGCCTCTGGCATCTAGTCTTCAACCAGGAAATGGTGTGTTGGCAATCAGTCAAGTGGGCTTGGGTGCAACCCAAGGGTCGAATCGTACCTCTGTCATCCACCCGGCAGGCTCAAACTCGGCAGGGTTAATCGCGGAAGAGAACGTTGGAGGCAATACAAACGGTAAGCCTTCTTCGAATTGACCACCTAGAGTGATGCCGCGGCATGCGAAGTAAATTACCACTTACAAGTGATGCCACCGCGAGGTGATGCCTCTCAGAGATGAGTGAACGGGGAACAGAACTAAGTCGCACATTGTATTTCCATTACCTGTCCCAGTCAATAAATCCCCTCCGCGCAGAAACACGACGTCTGCCGTGGTTAGCCCACCGAAGGGCATGCACTCTTGGCTGATCGCCAATGGATTGTCAATAATCAACGCTTCAGGCTCCGTGACACCTAATGGATTTACAACAGGACTTGGATGCCTACCTAAGACTCCTGCCACTGCCAACCCGACTCCCAAGAAAGCTCCTTGTTTTGACTTAACCAACGATACCGACGATGCTACTCCATCTTCGAAAGAAACTGATATGTCGAAGTCCACTACCAAATCGAAACCAGAAGTCAGTGCCAAGGGCATAGAAAACACTGGTCTTGTCAGTTTATCAAAACATTGGCACGACAAGCTCTCACCACTAGTAGGATATGTACCATTATCTATCTTCAACATCAATTGGTTAAAATTGGACCTGCTTAGGACTACTTCTCGTCCACGAACCTCGAAAGATAAGGATGACAAGTATGTCGGCATGGAAGTTCCCGAGGAGTGGAAGATGTCCTTCGGAGAATGGGTGACTGCTTTCGATCTCTTCGTGGCCTATCTGGTGCATTACGAACATGTCGGCCTAGCTAAGCGTTTCAAAGTTCATAAGGAGAATGTATTCGCCATTATGAGAGAAAGGAGGAGTTGGCCGATGGCTTTTCGGTACGATATGGCAATACGGACAACAGTGCTTACGATTCGGAACTCTGACGGCAAATTAGCGGCTCCCGGAGACCAAAACAAAACGATTGAGAGAGATGCCCGTCTAGAGACAGAGCGTTTGGGCAACTTCGACCCCAGATTCGCAGACTGTAATCCTTATGCAGAAGGCCAAGTCAAGTCCCACATTAACCCGATCAGCGGTGAACGGATGCGTCACAACGAGAACACCTTTGGACCTACCAGGAATGACCATTTGATGAGTTCTACTTACGGGAAGCCGAATGCGAGATCTTGGGCCTTTGCGAATCAAGTGGTTTATGACGGCCCAGGCGGCGTGAGCTTCAATGACGCTGAAGATAGAGGACATGGTAGTCGTAGGAACCGTGGACGTGGTAGAGGTGGTCGCTGGAATGGCGGTGGTGGTCATGAAGCTTCACCTAGGGGTAGGCGAGGAAATGACAATTATGACGAGAGAAGAGCTGATGGAGGCGGTTCATGGAAACGTGAGGATAGGCGCGATGACCGCCGAGGCGATGAGCGCGGGCCTGTGGGTCCTAAGTTTGGCGGCCAAGGGAAGGAAAAGTAAGCCCTTCAGCATGATTGAGCCACTACTTTTCGTCTAGAGAGTTATCATACAATTGGGCCGTATACCCTACGCTTTGGTGTGTGTTGTCCACCCAAATGAGCCTCGTCTCATGTTTCTTGGTTTTGTGCCGGCTCCTTGTCTGTAGAAGGTTGTCCGAGGCGTGCAATGTTCCTGTCGCATACAACTTGACTGCTCCTGTCTAGCGCATGTTTGATCTTCTTCATGTTTCTGTCACGATCCTGTCTATACGCTGTACTTCCTGTCGAAGGTCAATGAAAGCAGATAAGTTTGTTGGATAAATTTCTGACTATGGCGTGCCTACCTCCCCCTGATCTGTGTAGCCCGACAATACGTGAAAGAGCCCCGTTGCCTAGCTCAAGGTTTCGTGATCGGAGGATGCCAGAAGCTGGCCCAAGAATTGTGTTAGACGAATCAGTTGAGAGGTCCGGACCTGTGGAGCTACTTCCTTATTCGAATTCAGGGAGAGGTTACGATCCTCGTTGGCCCAAAGAGGTGGCAGTGTGTGACCTAAATTTAGAGAAATGGAAAACATTAGTCGAGCTGTACGGAATTGAAGGTGATGCTGAGGAAGTCCTAGAAGGTTGTAGGATAGGGTTCCATCAGGGAATTCCTGATCATAATTTAGGTGCTCGCCGTTGGTTCACACCACCCAATCACGAGTCGGCTAAGCAAGCGGCAGAAAAGATAGAGAACACGCTAGCGAAAGAACGCAGAGCAAACAGGATATTCGGGCCATTCACTCACAGGGAAGTCTTTGAAAAATTAGGTTTCTTCAGGTCCAGCCCGATGGGTAGTGTCATCAACGGGGATGGATCTTTCAGGATCATCAATGACCTATCATTTCCTCAGAATGTAGAAGAAACTCCGTCAGTTAACAGCTTCGTAGACAAAAAGGAATTTGTGACAAGCTGGGATGATTTCAAGGTAGTGGCGATATTTTTTAGGACTCACCTGGGAAAGTACAAGGTGGCAATATTTTTTAGGACTCACCTGGGAAAGTACAAGGTGGCAATATTCAATTGGGAGAAGGCCTATCAGCAGATTGCTATTCACCCATCTCAATGGCGGTTTCTTCTCATTATGGACCTTTGGAAAAGGATGTGGCTTGACACGCGTATTCAGTTTGGTGGTGTCGCAGGATGCGGTGTGTTTGGTAGACCAGCAGATTTGTGGAGGAAGATTGTGATCAAACATTTTAACTTAGTCACCGCGTTCAGGTGGGTGGATGACAATCTGCTCATCAAAGAAGAAAGCAACGTAACTACCATCCAAGATATTGTTCTTCTAAGCACGGAGATGGGTGTGTCGTCAAACTCAGAGAAAGTCCACGAGTTCGCGGATGAGCAGCGATATATTGGATTCATCTGGAACGTGGCGGAAAGGACCGTTTGTTTACCCAAAGATAAATTCGTCAAAAGGAAACAGCAAGTTGATGATTTCTTAGTTCTCAAAGCAGCATTCAATCTCAAGCAGGCGGAGAGACTGATAGGAAGGTTGGTCCATACAACTCACATCGTTCCCAACATGAGATGCTATATGCCCAGTTTACATCGATGGAAAGCAGAATGGAAGGTATTGTCTGCGCTGCGGAAGGTTCCGAGAGATGTAAGGGAGGACCTGTTAGAATGGCAGGCTGCGTTACAGAACTTCCAACCTCGACGAATAATTCCTGATTCGGTACCCATAGATGTTGAATGGGTAGGTGACGCATCGATGTCAGGAATAGGTGTATTGATTGGCTCTAAGTGGGCAGAATTTTGTCTAGTGAAAGGTTGGAACCTGATAACGACACATCGAGGGAAGCGAAATATAGCCTGGGCCGAGACGGTTGCGATAAGGTTGGGTTTGTTAGTATTAAGTAAGTTGAGAGACGTGCGCGGGAAGTGCTTCATTGTACTTACCGACAATACGACGTCACAAGCGGCGGTCGACAAACATAAGTCAGGTGATCAGGCTGTAAACAAGGAGTGGAAGCAAGTGCAAAAGCTGTTAGCGGCGCTGCAATGCGATGTAGTAGCAGAAAGAGTAGCGACTGGTGACAACATGGCAGACCTACTTTCTAGAGGTTTAGATAACCGTAGTATGGAAGATTGTGTAGAGATAGTTGTACCAGATGACCTGAGATTGGTAGTAAAACAATGCTAGTGAAATGAATCCTTCTTGTTTCTTCTGATTGACCACCTTGTTAGCGCCAAGTTTGTTCCCGAAACGGGGTTGTTTGGTTGCCCTCTTGCTCTCGGGCAGGATTTATGACCTGGTTGCTGGGAAACCACTACAGAGTAGAAAGACTCGGTCGTTGTAAAACTTGATCGTTATACCCATACAAAACATCGTCGCATCAGTCATGGAGTTCCTCAAAGGCCTAGACGGCATAAACTCAGTAGCGAGTGACCCAATCAAGACTTACATGATTAACGGGAGCTGGTCTGACGCAACGATCAAACATTACAACGCCGGTGTCTCGAAGTTAATTGCCTTCGCTAAAGAAAAGAACATTCCTCAATCACGACTGTTACCAATCGATCGAGAAGTGTTGTTCGCATTCGTGGTTTGGGCGGGTCCAAAGCATCCGACCGAACCAGTAGACTCGAAATCCCCTCCAATAAAATCGAATACGATTAGAACTTACTTATCGGGCATCAAAGCGTGGCATCTATTCCACGACTTTGAATACCCTCACACTGCGACCGATCGGGTCGAAGCGATTCTGAAAGCAGCCCAAAAACTAGAACTCCGAGAAGGACCTAAAGAAAAGAAAAACCCGGTGATGGTAAAACATTTGTTTGGTCTCCTAGAGTGTCTGTCAGACGGATCGTTAGAAAACCAAACGGCGTACACAGTAGCCTTAGTTGCCTTTTGGGGCATGGCTTGTTTGGGGGAATTGCTAAAACCGGCGAACAGTAAGAATCAGATTAAGGTGAAGGACTTGGTCTGGGGAGGAAAGATGGATTTCTTACGTATTAGGATCAGAGAAGCGAAGACGGCTGCCGTGGGGGAAATTCAAGAGATCCACTGTCAAAATCAAAACTCCCTCCTCGACCCAGTCTACGCGGTTCAAAGGTTGATCAAAGATACGAATGCTACGGAAGACGACCCCCTGTTTTCATACCAACGTGGTGACAAGAGGATAACTTTGACAAAAGCACGGTGTCAGAAAATCTTTGCAGACGTATGGGAGAGTAGAATGAGAACGAAGTTGACCGGGCATTCATTTCGGGTTGGGGGTGCGTCGTTGAGGTGGAACTTGGATTGTCCTCTGGAACAGATAGTAGCTCTTGGGCGATGGAGGTCAAAGGCCTACAAACTGTACATTAGGGAGTACAGCGACGCAGATCTATTGAACACTGTACGACTACTCGAAGAACTTAGATTGTAGCAATTTAATTAACGCGGTGTTGGGGATTGACATGCGCAGGAAGCCGAGCGGTATGTTACATTTACATAATGCTCTAGTCAGCAGCATTTGACTGGGGGGTGTTCAAGGAAAGCGAGGGTAACCTTGACCCAGATCACTGGGGATGGGAGTTCGCAGGCTCAGGCCCGTGACCTGAGTCAAGGGGAAGCACTCTCCCATCCCGAGTTCTCAGTGGTCCCACCTCCCTCTGTCCAGTTGGACGGGGCCCCCCCCCCAAGAAACCCAAAGTGTTCATAGAACGGAGACTTTAGGTTTGCCTAGGACAAACTAGAGTACTTGTAATTATGCATTACAAACTACGTAAGGCTATGTGAAATTAACACTACGTGGAATGAGGTGCTATTAGGAAGCTCACCCTTCCTGAGACACCGCCCAATAGAGAGTGGATGGTAGACGGTACCCAAAGGCACGACGGTACCGTCTGTTTCCACGATGAGTGGCGGGGTCGGCCTATGGGAAGTGGGAGAAAACAGCCTTCTACCGAGGGTAGGTTTTCTCCCGGCGCGAGCTCAAGAATTCAGAGTAAAGGAAAATCCCTTCACTCCATCTTTCTCCCCCACGCGTCAACTTCCCCATAGTCGACTATCCCACACTCAGATCCGGGGAATTTCACTCTCTCATCTCCTACTTGAAGCCATCTGGCTTAAAGCTCTCTTTTCAAAACCCGGCCACCACCCAGAAAATCGATGTTCCCTGTCAGAGTCTGCAGCGCAAGAAGTCATCATCAGGAGAAGCAGTTGCTGGTGAGTAGTTTAGTTCACGAACTTAGCTGGTAAGTTATATTTAAGTATTGTAGTGATAAGTTGTGGAGGGAGTTGCCTAGCCCACCGTTCAGCGCTCTCCCATCCCGAGTTCTCAGTGGTCCTACCTCCCTCTGCCCAGTTGGGCGGGGGGCCCCCCCCAAGAAACCCAAAGTGTTCATAGAACGGAGACTTTAGGTTTGCCTAGGACAACCTAGAGTACTTGTAATTATGCATTACAAACTACGTAAGGCTATGTGAAATTAACACTACGTGGAATGAGGTGCTATTAGGAAGCTCACCCTTCCTGAGACACCGCCCAATAGAGAGTGGACAGTCCACTAAATCTAGGGAAACAAATGCAAGTGAAAATGAAAGAAGAAAATGTAGAGGTAAACTGGAACAGTACTAATAAATTATTAGACTCTCCTAAAACGTTTTACACAATTACGGTACTCAAAGCTACATTGTACATATATATAGTTGTCATATATAATTTTTTTGGCAAGGAAAAAACAAATATACTAATTTTGGACTCATTTTCCCTGCCAAAAAAAATGTGTAGCCAAAATTATGTATGTGTACATACTTGCTTTGAATACCGTAAATAAAGAGCATATCTACAGGAACAGGACCAAGGAGATTGGCCACAGAGCAAAGGACAGGTTTTCACGAGCTGAAGAGAGGTTGAAAAAATCAACATCAACAAATTGCTCAGCTTAACAACACCCTTTCTGTGTTGCCATGTCCATGCACTCACAGAGGGGCTTATGACTAATTGTTGAATTCCTGTGTGAACACTCCAGAGGTTAAGTCTCCTTATGTATCTTTCCAACATTTCTTTTTTCCCTCAATGATAAACCCCTCTTTACCCCGCAGGCAGAGTTCTCCAGATACATTTTATACATGTGTTTTGACCTTTTTTTGTCTGGAAAACTGTTGCCATCATGCACTTCTTGAGGTGAATGTGCAAGCCTTATGTCTCACTTGTAAAGTGGTGTACAGGGTGTTTTCACATCTTACACAA